TCTCAAATTCTTTCTCTCTGACACTGATCCTTTGCACCATTTTCAGTCCACGGTCTGATCTGGCCTGAAATGCTTTTCACCTCCCTATCTGTTTGGGGGGCATTTCCAGGCACTTCTTCCAAGTAGCTGTTGCCAAAAAGCAATTTCTGTGCCTACTTTATGTCCCCCAATTTCCAAAGACTGTCCTGAGTTACGGTCAGTTTATTTTATTATTATTTTTTTAAGGTGGCTTCACATTCTTTATTATTACATTTTTTAATTTTAATAGATCTTTATTGGAGTATAATTGCTTCACAATACTGTGTTAGTTTCTGTTGTACAACAAAGTGAATCAGCCATAGGCATACATATATCCCCATATCCCCTCCCTCTTGAGCCTCCCTCCCACCCTCCCTATCCCACCCCTCTAGGTCGTCACAAAGCACCAAGCTCATCTCCCTGTGCTATGCGGCTGCTTCCCACTAGCTAGCTATTTTACATTTGGTAGTGTATAGATGTCCATGCCACTCTCTCACTTCGTCCCAGCTTCCCCTTCCCCCTCCCCGTGTCCTCAAGTCCATTCTCTACGTCTGCGTCTTTATTCCTGCCCTGCCACTAGGTTCATCAGTACCGTTTTTTTAGATTCCATAGATATGTGTTAGCATACGGTATTTGTTTTTCTCTTTCTGACTTACATCACTCTGTTTGACAGACTCTAGGTCCATCCACCTCACTACAAATGACTCAGTTTCGTTCCTTTTTACGGCTGAGTAATATTCCATTGTATATATGTGCCACATCTCCTTTATCCATTCATCTACTGATGGACATTTAGCTTACTTCTATGTCCTGGCTATCGTAAATAGAGCTGCAATGAACACTGTGGTACATGTCTCTTTTTGAATTATGGTTTTCTCAGGGTATGTGCCCAGTAGTGGGACTGCTGGGTCATATGGTAGTTCTCTTTTTACTTTTTAAGGAACCTCCATACTGTTCTCCATAGTGGCTGTATCAATTTACATTCCCACCAACAGTGCAGGAGGGTTCCCTTTTCACCACACCCTTTCCAGCACTTATTGTTTCTAGATTTTTTTAAACAGTGCACTACTAAATAACCAAGAGATCCCTGAAGAAATCAAAGAAGAAATAAAAATATATATGGAAACAAATGACAACGAAAACACGACAACCCAAAACCTATGGGACTGCAGCAAAAGCAGTTCTAAGAGGGAAGTTTATAACAATTCAATCTCACCTCAGGAAACAAGAAAAATCTCAACTAAACAATCTAACTCTACACTTAAAACAACTAGAGAAAGAAGAACAAAGAAAACCCAAAGTCCGTAGAAGGAAAGAAATCATAAAGATCAGAGCAGGAATAAATGAAATAGAAACGAAGAAAACAATAGCAAAGATCAATAAAACTAAAAGCTGGTTCTTTGAGAAGATAAACAAAATTGATAAACCCTTAGCCAGACTCATCAAGAAAAAAAGGGAAAGGATACAAATCAGTGTCAGTTTCTTTTTTTTTTTTTTTTTTTTTTTTTTTGCAGTACACGGGCCTCTCACTGTCGTGGCCTCTCTCCCGTTGCGGAGCACAGGCTCTGGACGCGTAGGCTCAGCAGCCATGGCTCACGGGCCCAGCCGCTCCGCGGCATGTGGGATCTTCCCGGACCGGGGCAAGAACCCGCGTCCCCTGCATCGGCAGGCGGACTCTCAACCACTGCGCCACCAGAGAAGCCCAGTGTCAGTTTATTTTTAAAAGCACTCCTTTCCTCTTGACTGTTACTGTTTTGCCTCTGTATGACTACGGAGAGAAAAAAACACACAGATAGAAAGAAAAGGCCCTGCCCCCTTTTGGTGAAACTAGAGAGCACAGCATGTAGGGTCTGTGGCATGCTGAAATGACTTCATGTAGCTCCCACATCTAGAACAAGGAAGCTCTACTGTATTAAGGCAGCAGCCCTTTTCAGTTTGTAAACACTTTCTCATTCATTCACCAAGTCTGACTGCGGCTGCTGCCCCGCTGTCTGTGAACTCTGTTCTCTCCCCTCCATCCCCTCTGCTACCCATCCCCACATCCCTCTGCACTTCGTCCAAGGATGGCTCCCACTCGCTCCTGACGGGCCTTGGTGCTCTCAATCTTGTTTTCCAATGGACTCGCTACCTTGCAGCCAAGAGTCAGCTTTCTAAAATATAAATCTGTGTGTTTTTTTTATGCCTCAGCTCAAAAGCCCTCCCCACCGTTTTCTGGAAAAAGCCCAGTTTTGGCATCCCCCTCCGACCCAGTCCCTGATCACCCCTCCAGTTTGTCTCTCTGACTCTCCTACTGTGTGTTGAGCAAGCTGTGAGCCCCAGAAAGCTGCCATATTCTTATCTCCTGGCCTTTGCACAGGCCGTTTGCCCTTCCTAGAATGTCCTAGAATATCTCCCCTTCTCTAGCTAACATTTATTCATCCTTTAGACCCCTGCCGCTCCTCTTAGATGTCTCCATTTTTTAACCTTTCCGGTTGGCAGCCTGTGGGCTTTCCTATAGTCCTGTAGCACTTTCCACATCATGTTGAAACGGATCACTTGTCTGTCTCCCCCATTAGATTATGAGCTCGTTGAGGGCAGGGAGTATAGCTCATTTCTCTGTATACCTCCAGAGCTCACACAGTGGGTGCTCAATAAGGACGTGTTGAATACAAGTGAAAGAACCTACTATTTCTCTTCTTCTTTTTTTTTTTTTTAGCTGTGCCGCTCGGCTTCTGGGATATTAGTTCCCCGACCAGGGATTGAACCCAGGCCCTCGGCAGTGAGAGCACAGAGTCCTAACCACTGGACTGTCAGGGAATTCCCCCTATTATCTCATTTGATCTTGAAGACAATTTAGGGGTATAGGCAGAGCAAGAGTTATTCCCAATTTCACAGGTAAGGAAACTGAGGCTCAGAGACACACAGCCTGCTCTGACTTGCTATGACGTAGCTGTCAACCATCAGTTGATGGGTGGAGGGTGGTGTGACTGGAGGAATCCATCTCTGGGAACCTGGTGATGGTGGAGGCCCGGGCAGGGCTTAAGGTGATTCTCTCACTCACTCGCTCAACAAACACGTCTTGAGCACCTATTGTGCTCCAGGCACTGTGCTAGCCAGGACCCCGGCCTCAAAGGGGGCACAGCCCAGTCCTCTGTGGACTAGTCTAGTTTCCGACCTTATTCTAATCATGGACTCTGTGAGAACCTGGTCAAAGCTGGGAAATTCCCTCCAGAAAAAGATGAACCTAGGAGCACGCACGCACACACACATGCACATATTCTATGTACATTTCAGGGTGTCCGGATTCCCCTGAAGCTTATCCATGGACCCTAGGTTAACAGTCCCTAGTTTAGATGAGAAGACAGGCACGCAAACAACTAAGTGATACGAAATGTGGAGCCAAGAAATCACAAGTAAATTCCCTCCCTTTAGGGGCAGTGGAGTCAGAGAAGACTGGCTGTGTCATTCAGTCCACTAATTTATCGAGCACCTACTGTGCACCAAGGACAGATGGTGAATAAGACCACATAATCTCTTTCCTTTGGCTCTTAAAGCCCAGTTGATGGGGGCGGTGGCATTTGAACTGAGTCTTAAGGTCAGGAAAGGAGAAGGGGGGCGGCAGTCCAGACAGAGAGAACAGCACGGCCTGAGTTCTGGGAGAACAGGCAGACAGGCATCATCTCCCCCTTTGATTCTCTCCACCGACTAGAGGTGAGATCAGTTTCCAGTGCTCACTCTGGAAGAAGACAGCCCAGCAGAGAAAGGCTCCATGGCGGGAGGGGAGACTGTGTGTGTGCATGCACTGTGAACCCCGCTTCCCTGCCAGCCTCCCTGCAGTAGTGCCCAGAGCCAACACCCAGGGTTGCCAGGCCCAAGGCACCACTGAACTTTCTTCCTTGATCTCAGCCCAGAACCCATCCCGGGAGACAGCCTTCTCTTATTTCTTTCCCCACCTTGGCCAGAATTTCAAGTGCATGAGAAATGGAAGCTCATGGGTGGCTTGGATGCTAACGGGTCCCTGGGGCCCAATGCAATCCGCAAAGCTTCAGCACCTTTGTGCGCAGCCATTAGTGGCAGAGACAGGGGACCCAGGCATGCAGTTGTCAGCTCGGCTACCTCTTCCTCAGGCTCAGTGCTACTTTTCCCCCTACAAGACTCCGTTCCACTTTAATGGAAGGAAACCAGTTACTGCCTTCCTTTTAGTTTCTTGGCACATTTAATGCCCCCTGTGATATTTCTGGCAGATTCGTAGCTGGCAGTTAGAGGACGGTTTGTAACTACCACAAAACAACCGTTAAGTACCAAAAAATAAAAAGAGATTTTCTTTTCGGATAGAAAAAGAATACGGACACGTCTGGCTTTGTAAAATTACTGTCAGTCAGTGGGCATATGGGTTCCTGAAAAGTTGGGCAGAAATCACAATATTGTGGAAAGCATCCCTGAAATGCATCCCACTCTAGCTGGCAAGCACTTACACTCCTCCTTCAGATCCTGCCTAAGTGGCCCCTTCTTTAGAGAGCCTTTTCTGGACCCCTCCAGTGGAAGGAACAGATTTTTGTTGCATCTCGACCATGTGCCAGGGACTGGGCTACATTATGTATTATCTCAAACCGTCTTCTCTACAATCCCACAGGTAGGTAGTTAGCAGCGCCATTTTACAGAAGAAACTGAGGCTGCAAAGTGAAGAGGCTTGCACAAGTTTCCTAAGCTCATAGGTGATGAGGCCAGAGGTTGAAACCAGGTCTGGCTGATGCTAAAACCCATGCTCTGTTCATTACAAACAGTTGCTGAGATAGCTCTTCTGCTCGAAAGGCCCTTGCATTCTGACTTTTCATCGTTAAGTCACATCCACTTTTAATCATTTGTTGACTGGTTCTTTCTTTCCATTTGGTGGGGGTTCCTTGATGCAGGGACCATTATGGCCTTCCTAGGGTCTAGTGTGCCTCTCCCATAGGAGGGATTCAGGGAGTATTTGTGAAATGAAAGTAGGAATGGATGGGAATTCCCTGGCAGTCCAGTGGTTAGGATACGGCACTTTCACTGCTGGGGTCCTGGTTCGATCCCTGGTCGGGGAACTAAGATCCCGCAAGCCGTGTGGTGCAGCAAAAAAAAAAAAAAAAAGTAGGAATTGATTAGAGTTCCCTTCAGAGATGTTTTATCCACAACAATTTTCAGTGTATCTATAACTCTTTCCTAGATTTCTTTGCTTGCCTCCTGTGGCTCTCTAGATGAAGAATAAAGCCACCTCCACTTTAAGAAGCCTAGCCTCGGGACTTCCCTGGTGGCGCAGTGGTTAAGAATCCACCTGCCAATGCAGGGGACACGGGTTCGAGCCCTGGTCTGGGACGACCCCACGTGCCACGGAGCAACTAAGCCCACGCGTCACAAGTACTGAGCCTGTGTACCACAACTACTGAAGCCCACGCGCCTAGAGCCCGTGCTCCACAACAAGAGGAGCCATCGCAATGAGAAGCCCGCGCACCTCAGCGAAGAGTAGCCCCCACTCACCGCGCGGCAAAAGCCCGCGCGCAGCAACAAAGACCCAATGCAGCCAAAAATAAATAAATAAAATTAAAAAAAAAAAAAAAGAAGCCTAGCCTCCCCTCAAATTCTCCAAGGAATAAAAACAATTGGAAAAGAATGGCCAGGAAACTAAAGAAAGATTGACTGTAAGATCTTGACCCGAAATATCCTAATTCGCTGAAAACAGGACTTGGCCAACAATAGTTCTACTTGCTTACAACTTTCAGAAACATCACTTGAGACCATTGAGCAGTAGATCAAGATACAAATGCCCTTAACTTCTGCTGCTTCTCCTGTTTCCCCATCACCATCCCCACTATCTAGTCTCGGTCCTCCATCTGGGTAGGCAATCTCCATATTGTGACTTTTTGCCATCACCCACGGTGGGAAGACGAGGCAGGAAGTTTAGGCAGAAGCAGGTATGATTGTCAGGCATCAGCCCATCCCAAGCCCTTTAACAGATCTACTCACAATAATAACAGCGATAAGAGTAAATGCCAATATTTACTGAGAGCCTGTTACATGCCAGGCACCAAGCACTTTCTAGGAATTAACTCACTCAAGCTCTGCAAACTTCATTTTACGGGTAAGGAAATGGAAGCTGAGCTTTCAGGAAATTTTGGCTTAGTCACAGAGCTACAAGATGGCGGAGCCCGTATTTGAATCCAAGCAGGCTGACTCCAGAACGGCAAGTGTAGCTACTTTGTAATAACGCTTTGCCTGGGAGCACCCCAGGATCACTTCATCCCCAACCAGACCACCTCTTGGTGGCCCAACTGTTTTGCCCAATGCTCCCTTACTCCCGTTCTTATTTCAGCTTTACCTTAGGCGCTGGCTTACACCTGCCAAGACAGCAAGATTCTCTGGCATGCAGCCAGTGATACCACCGAGATGCACTGCTCTTGCAAGAGGTCGTTTGCTAGCTGGACTGTCAGTGGCCAGAGCTCAGCGAAGCCCCCCAACTACTCCAGGTCTCACAAGGGAGGAGGGGGAGCGCCGTCTGAGTTAGGGGGGACCAGGCGGTGCCTCAGGGCGGTGTCTCGGAAGTGGGGAGCATCGCCTTGCACTGCTGCCGGTTCCTTCCCCTCCGCCGGATCCCTCTGTTCCCAGCACGCTCAATGGGAAGGCAGTGCGCCTTGCAAAACATCACCATCCCTTCCTGGGATCCAGTACTGGCCAGGTGGGCGGAGGGAATGTTTTCATTTGAAATCCTTCATTCCCCCACCTCCCTGTCCCTCCACCTGGCCAGGAATCACAAGTCCTTGGCAGTGATTTTGGGCTGGCTGATTTATAGTGAAAATTTCTACTGGAAACCACGACTGGGAGGACTCATTCAGCTATCTGGGGACCCTGTGATGTTTAGAAACCGTGCTTCTTGAAGCCAGTTACTATTGGCCAGAATCCCAACTCCAGACGACATTCAGGCACATTTCCCACCTCCTGAGCCTGTGCGTGTGTAGTTTTGTGAAGCTACCAGCTCGCAGACTTCTGTGGTCACTGGAGTGTTGAGGGCCCTGTTGGGCAACTCTGATTGGCTAAATGCTCTGTTCCTTCTGGTCTCCGTGGGCAAAGTGCACGGTCACCAGCAGTTGCTCTGTTTCACATCTGGAACATATGCTTTAGTAACTCAGAGCCTCTTTGGGGAGTTTTGGTTGCCCGAGGAAAAAGGACAAAACACCTTTGTTGGGAAGCATCTGGCCAATTCATAGAGTATTAGGAGCTGGAAGAGACTTAATTGGGGTCACTGTCAGCCAGAGGTCATCTGCATTAAAATGCCACGTAGCCTGGCAGCACCCAGAGCCCTTAGGTGAGAATTCTGACCCCTGACCCACCACTTAGCAGCTGTGAGCTCTTGGGCAAGTCATTTATCTTCTTAGCACTTTGGTTTCATTGTCTGTAAAGTAAGGCTAATAGTAATAGCTAACACTTAGAGAGCTACTTACCATAAAACTCTTTATATAGATAAGATCATTACATCCTTTCAACGACCCTATTGTATTAGTTTCCTGGAGCTGGCCAGAAGCCTGAAATCAAGGTGTTGGCTGGGCTGTGCTCCTTTTGAGGGATGTAGGGAGAATCCATCTTTATCTCCTCCAACTGCTGGTGGCGCCTGGCATTCTTTGGCCTCCACGGCCCTCTTGCTTGTGTCTCACCTCCTACTTTCCTTCCTCGCAAAGATACCAGCCGTTGGATTTAGTATTCACCCTAAATCCAGGATGATATCATGCCGAGATTCTTAGCTCGTTTACATCTGCAAAGACTTTATTTCCAAATAAGGTCACATTCACCAGTACCAGGGGTTAGGACTTGGAAATATCTTTTTGGGATACATGATTCAACTCACTACACCTAGGAAATAGATACCTCTATGATTCCCATTTTACAGGTGAGGAGACCCATCAGGGTCACACAGTAAGTGGTGGATCTGAAATGCAAAGCCATACGGTCTGACTTCAGAGCTCATTTTAAGAAATCACTCTATTAGACAAATACTTATTGATCTGAGTACAGTTGTAGATGCGAGAGACGCAACAGTAGGAAAAGGAAAAAAGGAAAAAACAGACCCCCTAAATTGTTCTAGGAGCAGCAAGAAGGCCAGTATGGCTGAAGAGGAGTCAGTCACGGGGTTTGTAGCAAGAGCTGAGATCGGAAGGTAAGAGGAGCCAGACTGGGTAGAACCTTCTAGTGACTTTGGTGTTCAACCCCCCATGAGACGGGAAATTAACAGAGTGTTTTGAGGGAAGAAGTGACAGGATCTGCTTCGTGTTGTTGTTTTTTTTTTTTTCCAGTACGCGGGCCTCTCACTGCTGTGGCCTCTCCCACTGCGGAGCACAGGCTCCGGACGCGCAGGCTCAGCGGCCATGGCTCACGGGCCCAGCCGCTCCGCGGCATGTGGGATCTTCCTGGACCGGGGCACGAACCCGCGTCCCCTGCATCGGCAGGCGGACTCTCAACCACTGCGCCACCAGCGAAGCCCTGCTTTGTGTTTTTAAAGGACCCCAGAGAGACCAGTAGGTTGAGAAGTGACCATTAGGGGTCCAAGGCCTACACAGGAAGACAGTTGCAAGGCCCAGGCAAGAGGTGAGGATGCCCGGAGCAGGGAGGCACTGGTGTTAGAGAAGTGGTCAGATTCTATGCGTATTTTGAAGGAAAAGCCAACAAGATTTGCGGGCAGGTTGGATGTGGGCTTTGTAAGAAAAAGGATGCCACACTTTTTGACCTGAGCACCTGGAAAGCTAAAGCTGCCACTGACTTCCCGGTGCTTTCCTCGAAGGGTTCTTGTAATAACCAAATGAGATAACAAGAGGAAAAGTGCTGCCCTGAAGTTCTGCCCAGGGCCTTTGCTGGCTGTTGTTGTTATTACTGTTATTTTTCTGCGATCTGAAACTTTTTGCAGCTCTAGGTTGCCAGGAGGTGCCAGACTGGGCTGAACCACAGTCGAGCAGTGTGTCTATGATGAGAAAATATAATCATCTGACTATAATTTTAAATTGTCCTTTTTTAGTATCTCACTCTCTTCCCCACCTGTGCTGGGTGCATATTTGAGATCCGAGAAGGCTCTCTCCGTCATAATGGACGAGACAATATCAATATAGTCAGCAACAAAGGAAACCGTGGCAATTGCAAAACTATTTCCTTCAGATCCTTGTCATTCCCCCCCCCC